ATTCATTACTCCTAAGGCGTTTCCAGCTAGGAATGCAGATGGAAGAGCCACAAACATCTCAGCCCTATAGAGAATTTCTCTATCAGATAAAGATTTCTCTATCTACCTAATAAATATACCTTATAAGTCGATGGACAACTTTTCTCGTGATTGCATGTAATCTATTGTTTAGCAAAATATTTGTGTATAGAGAATTCTCCAGTTACCTAGCAAACACATTCTATAAATCGACAGCCACTGAACAACATACGTACAGACTTAAAAGCAAATGTTTTACTATAAAATAGAATACATACAACCACGAGAAATGTTGTCCATCGACCTATAAAGTATATTTGCTAGGTAGATACAGAATTCTCTATTTGATAGAGAAATTTTCTATAAGCCTATCGTGTAGGTGATCGTCATATTCGACGCTTCCATTGTAATACATTCCACAGTCGTTCTCCTCCACCTACCACTTGCCCACCTCATTATGTGACTAGCTCATCTATTTTTCAATATCGATGTGTGTTATTTTGGATATCGAAGATGGGCTAGATGTGTTTATGTGTACGTGTATGTGTATGTGTATGTGTGTATGTGTGTGTGTGTGTGTAGGCCATATATCAGAAGAGTTCAAGCGCTATACAGGTGGTGTCAATTTTCTACGTGGCGCCAATGTCACCGTCTTCTCCGTTGAAATAAGAGAGGATCCGGTACTCATATGGAGTGCGGAGTTCCGTATATTTCAGTTGATCGGTTGCTTCTTTCAGGCTCCTGAGTGTCACCCATTCTACTTACCTTCTTCCATATAGTGTTGTCGTCGTTTACGTTGATCTCTGTATTCTCTAATGAGGGTTCAATGGAGATATTCGATCTGTATAATCATGGAACCATACAATTCGACTTCCTTATCTGTGCACCATGGGTTTTTCATGGACTGGGTTTTGTTTAGATCTATGCTGACCCCTTTCTCCTACATTACTGAGCTCACTGAGTATCGCCGCTTATTCGCTGTTACTGTTCCAAAACACGACAATGATTTCTATCAATGCCTGTGGCTTCTTCGAGAGTCCATCATCCACTGCAATATGGAAGCAAAGAACTTTGGCGAAATTGTCATACGTTCTCGGACTGCTTTCCCTGGATTTGGTAAAGGGCCGATGAATAAGCTGTATTTTTATAGTCCAATAATGATAAGAGTCAGCTCGAGCAGTGTACATTAGTAGCCTATTTTTTTTCCCTTAGGTAATGTGGGAGAAACTACGATGCCCCTGAAACGAGTTATCGTTCATCGTGATTGAAGAACATGGGAGTTCCTCGTTCGCACCATCTCCAAGCTAAGAAGTTCGAAATTTCTATTCAGAAGTCCAACTAAAAGTGAGCCGATTTGAAGTATCACTTGCTGTGTTGGCAACATCTGCTAGTCACTAGCTGAGAAGTAGTGACCACCTGGGAAACTAGCACAACTATCGAGATTCCATGTGAAAAAAGTTTTCTTCTACCCGTAATTCACAGATCGAATAGAATGAGAATTAGCGCGCACGATTCTCCTTGAAGATGAGTTATTCAAGTAATCACGTGATTATGGAATAGCGTGTAGGAGGACCCTAAAGATTCTAGCTTTCCAATGGTTCACGGCTTGAAATACACAAAATCTTTGCCCAAAGAAAAATATATTACGTTCGGCAGTGATTTAGAAGGTTTTGATGACACCCAGGACCTTTAAAATTTGTAAGAAAGCAGAACAATTGGGAACCGCTTAATTTAAAATGACGTGGGCAAAAACGATTTGCAGTGAAAAGCATAAGAGTGTAGAGTTCATCACTAAATACGCAATAGGGAAATTTTACACATTTGTGACGACGTGTGTTGATATGAACTCATATATGTGAGAATATTCTGGCCGCTATGAGTTGATTTCAATTCGCAGCTGAATTAGCGAAAAATTAGGCATCTTACTACTTTCAAAGTCGCATGGTGGCAAGTCTCCCTCTGATCCACAAGGGCTGCGACCGCCTGTGGTGGTGACGACCTGGGGCAGACTTTGGCCAGGCTGTCCTCGGGATTCCAGGGAACCACAATGGCTTAACCAGCAAATTTCCAAAAAATGGTGATTATGCTGTGGCCCGCACAATTAGTGAGGACGGGCCATTCAAGTATCAAGTACCAAGTATAGAAAAGAAATGAAGTAAAATCTTCAAAAAGAACTAACCATAAAGTTTCCAGAAATTAGCATTGTTGTATGGTTGAACCAGCTGGAAATTTCGAAGTTCATAGCCTCGAGTTTCATCGATGAAGATTTTTGAAAGGTCATGTGGAGAAGGAATTAGCGATTCGGCAGCAATCGTGTTAAGAACCAATGTCACCCACCACATCATATCAGAATTGCAACTGCGGCCTCCGGCTTTTCATTAGCTTCAACCATTTTTCTCGTCCTCGAACAGGTAAACACTAGTTGAAACATGTCATGGCAACAAAACGAATCGATCGATCGATACGATCTGCCGAAAACAAATATATCCATGTAGAAGAAAAAATTATGCACCCAGTTAGGTACTTTCAATTACGTGATCAGGAGGAAAACCCCGAAATACGTGCTTTGCAAATGCTAATCATTCTGTTACCTCATGGGACAAGGGCGTGTGTAGCGTAGTGCTCGAAGGCGCCTTGCAATACACATGGAATCGATCCCCGCGCCCATGGTCCACCAAGCCTTCCATCCCTCAAGGGTCGGCAAATTGGTACCAGACTTGTCTGGGAGGATAGCATCACTAGCTCGATACATCGGTAGTCTACCGCAAGTCATTGTAAAAGGCCAGATATGCATCGAATCACCTCGAACGATACTTAATGAAGTCGAATGCATGGCACATCCTTCAAGGAATGATCAACTCAACTCCGAAAGCTTTATCCTTTTCCTTAACCTCATATGAAATACATTCCTTCCAAGTTGTTCTCGAGGGCCCGTCATAGAGCATTCTCAACAGCACCATCTGACAATACGGCGCTATAGGTTATTCTAAATAACATTACTATGATAATGAAGGTATACCCATAATACAAACGGAGAAATAAACGAAATCAATTATGTACCACGTACCACTCATCAAGACTACCTAGCATTTTTGACTAGAAAAAAAGCATACGAACCACTTTTAAAAACAAACATACGCTAAATTTCACAGCGTCCATGTTTTCTTGCAAGCACTGTTTCCACCTAACATTTCCACAGCCTTTTGAAAACGATTACTCACTTTCAAGCGAATGTCTAGACGATACATCTGTCCCAGTTAACTTACTTGATATTGAATGGCGCGTCCTCACTGGTTGTGCAGGCCCCAGCATAATCACCATTTTTCGGGTATTTGATAGTTAAGCCGTTGTAGTTCCCTGGAATCCCGATGTCAGCTTGGCTAAAGTCTGCCCCAGGTCACCATGCGACTAGTTTCATACCAGGCCGATGGTGGACCTTTGTATTGGTTTACTCTTAGCTAGGATTCCTGATGGAAGAGCCGAACTCCTTCTCAGCATGGGAGACCTTGCCAGAGGATGAATCCCCCGCTGCACATTGCAGTCCGATACCCAGGAACACCTCCCACCCACGATAATGCGGTAAACCGTTGGGAGGTCCCAAACCCGCATGGTCTGGTGGTGAACGCGTTAGCCTCCAGAAAGGGTAATAGCGCGTTCGTTCCCCACCGCAGACACCTGCAGTCCGGACTTCCACTTAACTTCAGCATACTCTAGTTTCTTACAAGCCTTGCGTACGCCTTGTTAAATACTGCTTCAAAATGAATATCTCCTTTAATCATACCGATGAAGCGGATTTTGGTCAGTCCATCGCCAATGTTTCTATCCGAAACATTTGCCCGCATCAGTTCCTGCATACGTTTAACACGGCAGCACTTCACTTCTTACGTAAAGCACTGACAATAGTCCTGACGACTGCAAAGGTGAAATGGAGCGTAGTTTCTTCCATACTATGATTGTGATCATTATTTTTAGCATCGGTATCGAATTTATAGAACGGTAGCCTATTTCATTTATTAATTCCGTTTAAAAATAAAAAAAACAAGTTTGTATAATGAAATCTTTACACACATGAACTATGAGTAGTAGAATGAGTATAACGTGAAAATTAGTAATAGAACAATATCAACTGAAATATTCAATAGAACCAGTGATGAACAGTGGTGACAAACAAGAGGGAGGGAGAGAACGAATAAAAAAAATGACAGCTAAGCATTACGATGAGAACATTCTATCGCTCATAAGTGATGAGGGACATGTCAAGATGAATAGGAAGACGGCACGACTGTTTGACTTTAGACCGAAACTACGATATCGCACTAAAATCTTCTAATGACTCGACAAAGATCACACATCACAGCACAATAGAGGGGTTAGGAACAGCTAAGAGCAACAAAAAAGAACTCCCAAACTTCACTTAACATAATTAATAAACGATTGCCTACACTGTTCTCTTCTAGTGATCAACCTCAAACGCGAGAAATGAAAAAAGAAAAAAAAACGAAAAATGAGGCCAAAATGAAGCTGAATTCACCGAGAAGGCTAGAAGCCTGAATGAGACAAAACTTTGGGATTAAAAACAAACGACCATGTTGATATTGCGAATATCATCATGGCAGACCCGCCCATTGTGCACAGCCACAGCGAAGCGCGAACGAACGAAAGCGTGCTATTCAACGTGAAAACGGAAAGCGATGCGCTGTGACGACAACAGCTACACAACGTGCGAAAAATGCAGAACACACAGTCGTGCGGTGAGGCTGACTTAGAAATTTTTGGAAGGAAGTAGGGTCGATTGTGAATTTAATACCAACCCTACGGCAATCCCAGCGCCATTTCTATATACACCATATTGTGGACTCAACCAACTGAAATGAACAATAAAACATAATCCGTGAACTATACACGATTCAACTGACTATCCCATTTGGCAAGTGGCTCAAGTGGTGTTTGGTCACAAGATGATGAGGTATGATGGAGTTACTTCATTGTGTTGCTGCCTCCTCAGATAATACGTCGTTTTCTTTCTTCACTACACCACACTCCATGGAATTCATAGGGGATGTGGCAATTGAAGTCAAAGACTGAAAGATATAATCTGTTATAAATCACGGTATAAATGCCAAAAACAGAAGAAAGAACAAACTCTTCTCACCTCAACAGCTGCATCGCCATTGTTATAAACATCATGCACATTCCCGGGTACAATGGAGATACCAGTTTCGTCAGCAAGAGGATCATTCATTTTATACATCTGACGAACAAAAATAAAATTCTCACTGAATTGTAGCAATAGACATTTTAAGAAATCCACCTTATAACTATCCTCATCATCAATAGAATTCGATCGCATGGCAGCAGCGTCATGTGCAGCCTGTTCACGACTATATTGAATTGCGGACTCAGCAACGCTACTCACCTAGATTTAGAAGGGAATAAACCTGGGAGAAAAGCAGGAAAATTCAGATTTACTGCGTTCCGAGTTCATTTCGAAAGATTGTGAACATAAAACGACTTCTTCACTAAGATGTATAAAAAGCCAAGAATATAAGTGTGAGTTAAGCTGCTTTAAAGAAGAAGGTACTAAGCAAGCACCACCTTTCCTACAATTCCATATTCCATCATTGTGAATATATTACAATATGTTTTTAAAACGTATTAAAATTCAATTAATAAGGTAACAGCAACGTGAGAAAATGTAAACTAATGCTGAGAAGCTAGAAACTATAGCTGAACAACTTCATGCAAAATAAAAGGACTCTTAAACACTCATATTAAGAAATCACACCGTAGCTTCCACGTGTTGCATACTGGCAGGTTGGCGTCGATTACGTGAATGTATTGCAGGCGGACCGTTTCCTATTGAACCAGAAGCATTGGTGTTTGGAGGAGAATCAGGGGGAGGAGAAATTGGACGGACCTAAAGGCACGTTTTCTTCTCATCGATGGAAAATGTGACCCAAAATGGTGAATCCACTTATTTTCCAAGTTTTTGTGTGCTTCCAAGAATAACCAGAACAAATAGCAAAGATACCTGCTGGTATGGTTGAGGCTCATCGCTATTCGGACCAATTCTACTCCGCCGCCTGGCATTCATAAAGAAGTTTGCGACAGTAGAGAGATCGAGACGGAGATGCTCAGCAATGGTTTGTTGCATTTCACGCGAAGGACGCTGCGTTTCTTTGAATATAGCCTAAAAAATTTTAATGCAAAGCAGACGATCAGGAATGTCAAAAAAAAACGACAAAAGAATGAAGATATCAACGTTCGATGTTGCCAGAGACCTAGCGATTCCGTTACTGCCACAATAACGAGGTGTTGTTCAGCACAATTACTTTTGTGGATACTTGGATGGCCCATCCTCACTCGTTATGGCGACTAGCATAGTTTCCATTTCTTCGGAGTTTTGTTAGTCTAGTTACTGTGGTTCCTTGAACTCTTGAGATCAGGCTAGCCGAAGTCTGCCCCAGGTCATCACCACCACAGGTAGTGGCCGTCCTGTGGATCAGGGAGAGATTTACCACCATAATAAAAAGGACAAAGCTCTAGGCGTTGAGCAATCCCTGGGGGATGCGCCATGCATTCGACTCCATTAGTCATCGTTGGAGGTGACTGAATACATATACGAAATTTACAATGGTTAGCGGTGGCCTAACAAAGTATCCAGTCAGTGCTGCTATGCTGCTATACAGGTCTGGTACCACTTAGACGACCCCGGAAGGATGGAAGGCTTGGTGGGCCATGGACGCGGGAACTGATTCCACCTGTGCATCGCAGTGGACCCTCTAACCACTACGCCACACGCGCCCTTGTCACTATGCGACTAGTTTAAAAGACGGTGGTGGATCCTGCTATTGGTTTACTCTTAGCAGGGTCCGCTGATGGAAACACCGGACTCCTCAGCTGGGGAGACCCTCCTGGGGTGCACGTATGTATGAATGTGCACGTATGTATGAATCATATAGCACTATACTATTTTATCCAGCGATCTCCCTCATATGAGGAATCTCGAGCTGGTTAGTCGTGAAGCTACGTAGCACGTCCCCAGGTGGCGGATAGGGTGTTAACCGCGGACCAAACCGCGGATTAACCGACCTTTGCTTCCCTGAGACGCAGGTG